ACAGAGAGAGAGAGAGACAGGGCGAGAGAGAGAGAGAGATAGCGAGAGAGAGACAGCGAGAGAGAGAGAGAGAGAGACAGAGAGGGACGGACACGGACACGCAAGCTGAGGCTGCAACCGCCGGGGAATTTGCAGCCCACAGGACCCCTGCAGTTGCAGGCCTGGCTGAAGCGGGGTGGGATCTTGAGGATCAGCATCCCCCTATTCACAGCCCGTCTTGGGTCCCTCGATTTCTGAAGTGCGGCAAGAAGGGGGTTCTTCTTACGGTTGGTCCTCCACGCAGTTGTCATACAGGTTCTTTATGGAACATGATGGAACGGTCCAGATGTGGAAGTGTCCAGGGAAAGGCAGCTGTGCGGATGGAGGGAGGGAGAAAGAGCGCTTCACTCCACAGCTTCAGGGCCTTGGGGAGGAAGCGCTCTGCCGACTGGAAAGGAGTGGGGAGCCTGGACGGCCTGAAGAGGTAGGTGCCTTGGCCGAGAGGGCTTCTTCGTTTGAGGACTACCGACTTGGTACAACTCCAAGCGATGTTGTGAAGCGGCCTCGCCAAGCATCGCATGATGTGACTCTAGCATGGCCCTCCTCCCTCCACGACAAATTTCCATGTTGCAACCTGGGTGCAGGCGTGGCAGGTGAAGGGCAAACCTTGGCAGCTTCGCACATGAAACATTGAATCGCGAGTACCTGCTGCACGCATTTTCTGCTAAGAGGATGCAGCAAGCTTTAGCACTCAACCTGCTGGCAGACATCTCGACCCGCAAAGAGAGCTCCTGATCCTGCCTAGAGCTGGCGTTTGGGCTTCTGCAGAGACGGGTCTGCCCAAATGCCGTCCCGTCAAGCACCAGACAGGCCGAAACAGTCAGAGGCCAACAGACAAGGAAAGGTCCAGCTTTTGGCAGAGGTGCTCGCGTCTCCGAGCCACAGCCTGCCAGGGTCGACGCGTCACCCCCTTCGGAGTCGGAAGCGGCTCGGCTCGGTGCCCCTCCCTGGCGGCCTCTGGAGCCGAGTTTGCAGCACCGTAGAAGACCAGCGGCAGATCGCAGCAAGCCTCAATGAAGGAAGCAATCGCGAATCGACATCTCCTGTTGCAGTGGCAACCGCAACCACAAGAGGGGCCTTCGGAGGTCGTTGTGCCGGTTCCGCGAGTTCATTAGGGCGTTCCACTTCGGTTAGTATGCGATGCAATTGCATCACTAAGCTGTCAGAGCGGCTGATCTTCGAAATCAACCAACTCCAGGGCGACTAAAGAAGCCTAAAGCCGGAATCAAAAAGTCTGGGTAGCCTGAACGGGAGGAAGATGACATGAATTACCATTATATCGTCCAAAGACTTTGGCGTGAGACCGTGAGACATGAGTTGGGCGTCAGGTCAACTCCAGAAAAGCATGCATCACGGACCCCCTTGTCTTGGCCCACGGCTCGACTAGAGTCTTGCGCGCCTCGCCAGAAATCATGGCCAGTGTCCTGGGCAAGTCAATGCAAACATCCGAGCTCGGGGAAGAGAGAGCGAGAGAGACAAAGTCCTGACAGCTGTCACTTAAGCACGTCAGCTCTCAAGCAGCATCTGATTTCCACGAGAAACGAACCCGGCGAACCGGACAGCAATTGTCGTAAGAGACTCGAACAAACATTCAGTTCTCAAGGCAAGGCAAGCGACGACACTGGCCACCTAAAGTCTCTTGGCTCCGCGGATCTGCTGGGAGCCAAAAGACTCGAACCACCGGCGGGCAGCAGTGCGTTAGCGCGAAGGCACAGCCACGAATCTATATTCAGCGAAGGCAACAGCACAAGAATCCTCTGCTGCCCTAACGTCCACCGTGGAGCACTCAGCATGGATCCATTTGGGAAGCTTGACATGGCTGCTGAGCATACTGACCTCGACTGCCCCCACAAAAGCATGTTGCACCTCGAGGCGTTGCCCGGAGAGCAGTCCACAATCAGTAGTCGTCCAGCCCCAAACTGCAAGAGCAACTTCAGTCCAAGGCCAAGATCAAGGTAGAGCAAGGTTGCGTGGCTGCGCCTGGACTCGAGCCGAGAAGTTGATTGCCATGGTGGCCCCTTTTGCAGCATACCTCAGTGACTCAGGGGCAGTCATGCTGGAGAGGGTCAAAGTGGCACGCTATTACTGTAGCACATCACTGGGACAGGTCCAAGCTAGTCTGCGCAGTAAAACTTCCTGCACTTTGCCGGGCCAATGCTATTCTGGGTTCCCGACCATTGGGGCTTCGGGCTGAGTGCGAAGGCCTCTGTTGCAAGAAGATCCGCATCGGCATCTCGCATCAAAACTGACTGGAGGGAGTTCAGGCCGGCGTCGGCGACGAGTGAATTACGTAGAGGCTGGCACTGCAGCTGCAGCTCTAGCTCTGCCTTTGACTCACAGCACGCGGCCTCATCGTCGTCTTCACCATCTTCACCGTGACTGAGACGACGAGACGGCCGAGGCGGCCCATGCTCTCCATGCCTGGGCCACCGCGCAGATGTGAATCCGAGAGCAACCCGACAGCGTTTGCCGCTGCTCTGCATTTCGTTGCTCCTGGAACTCATGGGGCCTGACAGCTGATGTGTGCATCACACATAGCATCAATGGTACAGTGACTGCACCAAGAAACGACGTAAGCACCAAACATATCGGGGAAAAATAATTTCCCCCCCGATGCCACCAATCTTCCCGTGAAGCACCCCCCAACATCACTTTGACAAAACGAGCGAACCTGATTCGAAACGAAACATGTGACGAGTTTCATCTGCACACAGCCACTCTCAAAAATGCAGAATGTAAGGCGATTCAAAATCTTTCTCATCCCGAATTGGGCGCTAAAGCTGGACTGAATTTCAACTTGAATGGAACTACACACACCGAAGATCTGGTCACCACGCGATATAGTAGCCGAGTGTTTACGACACCATTGCATTTCTTGGGCAACAGCATCAAGAAAATATCGTGGATATTCTCACGCCATGCGTCTCTGGAAGAGCTAATGCCGATTCAAGCTGAAAGGAAGCCTCGGAATTCCTTGTAAGCAATAGTCTCGTCAACTCAGTCATTACAATCCCACGCTTGAGGTTTAGGGAATGGCAGATGTTGAACGGCGTGTACATGCACAAACAATTCGGCTTATGGTATGTGGCGAAATTAAGTTTCTATTTGTCCAAATACAGCCATAGGTCGAGGAAGTGCGCATGCTTCATGGTCAACATGATTTGCTGCAGCATCGCCGAAGGATTCACGATCACAAGAATGTCATCGACGAAACGCTGGTACCAGTATCAGTAACCCAATACGTGGCACCGGAAATCTCGAAGTATGAGCTCAAGCATTATCAAGCCCATGTAATGTAAGAAACTGTTGGCAAGCTGTGTCGCACAACTCAATCCTGTGGTGATTCCGTTCGTCTTGCTCGCTTGCTTTCAACAAGAATCTCCGAAGGACAGCTCGGGGAGGGCCCGGGGCCCCCGTTCCGGACCAGGCTGAGCCCGGAGCCGCTCGTCTTCGTCTTCGTCACGCTTTGACATGGCCTGTCTTCCCGATGGGAAGACTGCGTTGACCCTGAGGAACATGTAGCTCCGGTCCTCGGACGCTCAGGCTCAGGCCCGCTCCCAAGAGGTTTGCAGCAACTCGTCTCTTGGCCACCCGACAATGACCTGGAAGGAAGGCAGACGCCCGAGAGGCCCCGATGCAACAGGCCGGCCCTGGACCTTGCAGCTTGCGCTTCTAGTCATTGCAAATTCAGAATGACACAAAGAGATTGAGACCAACAGCAAGTTGAGAAACGACTAGGAGACAGATTCGCGTGAGGATTACGGCACAATAACCGCTCACCCACCGTTCATGCCTGCAGTGCTCCGTGCGTGTAGCCAATGGCATACCTCGGCAGGAATGCGACTTGTGGCTACTCCTAGGTTAACATTGTCGAAGCCGTGCTTGCACAGAGGCATGAAGAGGTCGGCACGCCCTGAAAGCCAAAACTACAGTAACTACAGCTTGCGCTGCCGGCTTACGCGTGGCCTTGGCATGTCGCCGTCGAACCGCAAGTAGAGATACCAAGCCCCAGTGTCTACTGCTTGATGGCAGCTGCGGAAGACTGCGTAGCCAATGCAGGGCAAGCCGCTCCATCCCACGAGGAAGAGCCGGGGGAAGGCAGGTCACCTGGCAGAGGTCTGGGCTCCTACGAGCGCAGTTGGCGCACTCTCGCGCGAACTCTCCCTGTCCTCATGGCTTCCGAGTCTCCGGCCGTAGCATGTGAAGCATGGCAGCGTGCTGCCGGGATCATCACTGCCTGGGAACGGAAGGGCGTCCGGCGGCGCACATAAACGCGCCTGTTGAAAGCCCCTATCAAAGGGGAGCAAGTATCTTGTCGCGCAGCTGTTGCAAGCGAACATGCATACCAGCTTGGGACCGATGTCTCATGCTGCCTGTCTTCGTGCACGTGCGTCCCACGCTTGACATCGAAGATAAGGCACCGAATCACCCAGACCCGCCTCTGACGCGCGGAAGCCCTTTATCCAAGACCCTGCCGAGCTGCATCTGCCATTGTCGTGAAGTTCGGGCGCATTGGACCAGCGGAGCTGTCGTCTCCCCACCTGGGCAGGTCACAATCTGAAGCCTCGGTCAAGCCTGCAGTGTCTGGCATGAAGATCCGTGTGATTCCAAACGAGACCCGCCCGCTACTTGAATCAATCGCGAAAATGAGTGGGTCTATAAATCCGATCGAAAACTGAAGTACTGGTAGAGTATTCAGATAGGTTGGCTCGACATCTTGTCGGGTTTGCACTGGAAAGTTATCATGCTTGGGCGAACTCCCAAAGTGGCGAGGGGCATTCTGGTACTCTGGTTGTCATCGCTGTTGTTCTCATCGTCGACATCATGCTGGTGCTCATCACTTCCTGACACACGACAGCTCAGGTACAGGTAAGCACATATCACAGCGGCAGACAGTGGTTGGCAGTGCCTGCCCGACATACTTCTTCAAATGTCTCTGCATTATTGCACGCCTGGTAGAGTGTTTGCTGCCAAGCGTCGGGAGGCATTCTGCCCTCGGTTGCCATACACCTGCAGCACATGCTCCACTCAATGGTCATCTGAGCCAAATTTCCCAAACGAACTAGCATTGCGCAAGCCCTGGAATTCCGGGGATTGGCACTTGGCAGCCGGCACTCCCATTGAGTTCCCTCGTTGGCACGAGGACAAAGTCTCCCGAACCCACCTGGAGCGCAGTGTCTGAGAGTCTAACCACAACGCTGTAAACTGTAAAGACAGACCGCTTTAGATGACTTGCCTGGATGGGCCTGTCAAACGTGATCTGCAAGGCCGAGGTTTGCGGAACCTTGCGGTTTCAGGAGAACGCTCAAGAAGACCAGGCAAGGTGGGGGGGGCCCTCGAACGTGACGACTGCAAGGGGAAGATCTCGGTGGAAGCGTAAGCTCCACGCCATCAGCTCTCCATCTGCCGGAAAGGTCGCCACGATCTCCGGATCATCTGCAGCTTCATCCTGGCATGGGTTGGCCGCAAACGACAGTCGACGGTTGCGGAGGCTTGGGCCTCGGAGTTTGCCACCTCGAAAACCAACCTCGCACAAAGAAAGCGATAAAAAGAGAGCGGGAGAATGCGGGAGAGATGGACACAAAGGAGGGGGGAGGGAGAGGGAGATCTGCAAGGTTTGGTCTGGAAGAGGACCCCTGCCTTGAAGATCTCACTCGCTCATGTTCGCTCTGTTATCTGGCACCGTGATTTGGATCCCGCTCTTATACTGTTTCAAGCAGTCAGAGTGGGCCAGTTGGGGACGGGGAGATGCCAGGAACCTCTTCAAGTTGCAGCCAGGGGACACAGCTGGTCCGCTGCGTTCTGCGGAAACACCTGCGTTGCCTTTGGGGCTCGGTCGCTGCTGGGCATAGGAGTTCGGGGAGTGTCGCACAATGCTGAAATCCTTCGGGTAGCTTCAGGCTTCGGTGGGCTCCAGAAGCTGCATGCAGGAATCTACTGAAGAGACCCGACGGGTGCAGATCTGTCTCCTTTGTGTGCTTTTCTGACTCATAGCTGGAAGTGTCGGTCCGGAGGCTTGCAGTTTCGCTGCAGGCAGGGCACCAGCCATGTCCAGAAATAGATCTTCCAGCACGTGCAACCTGATTGTCGAGGCTCTGACTTCGACATCGAAGACTGTGGGGGCATAAGGGCTGTGACATGCAAACTTGCTTCTCGTCTCGTGGTGCATCGTTATCGCAAGCAACAACTGCTGTGACCTGCCTGGTGCTGAATCCAATTTCTAACATGACCCGTGCTGAGCAGCGTTGTAAGCAAAATCATCCTGCCTGTAGCCATGGCCATACTCCAACGACGGCAAGTGCGCCAGCTCCACGCTGACGACGGCCCCCCTGCATTGCAGGTCTACTCTGCACCGTGCTTGCAATGCGACCGAAGCCTTGTCGCACACAGCATCCTGAAGACATTGTCCATTTGGCTAAAGCTTCGAAACCTTTCCTCCTTCTGATCCATCCGATTCCCAGACTCCCTCAACTGCCAGATTAGACTGCGCCGTGAACTACAGTGAGTGTTCCGACTGCAAACAGAGAGAAGTGTGCCTCACTTCCAAGCTGGCTGCTGGAATGGCGACTGACCGGCTCGCTGGTATGAAGCTGCACGGAAACGAGCAGTTCCTGCTGTGACATGCGTTGGCGTGGCGGATGATTGCTATCCTCCACCGCTACAGGATGCTCTCAACTGTCCACGAAGTCCTGCGTGGCATACAGGCACCATTCCCGCTGCAGCGATCTCCACCTCGCTCCAGATTTCAGATGTGGCTGCGATGGTGCAAGGCTTGTCAACTCGCAGTCGACCCATCTGCTCCGGGATGCCCGGCCGTTGTCCGGGACCAGCAAAAGTGGGGAGGCGGATGTGTCGAGCGGTTGCAGGGACTGGCGAAAGATTGGGATAGCGGCAACTGGCAATGCGCGTCGCTTCTCAAAGGAAATGCCTCGCTGAAGACCAGCTCCAGCCCGCTGGCTGAGGCATCCTGCCAGAGGAGGTTAGGAGGTCATGAGGGGAGCAGACAGTTCTGAAAAGCCGACTGTGCCATCGGCCTGATCGAAGATGGTCGGTGCAGCCCGGCCTGTCAAGATCTGACTCAAACACACCGCTGCCAGAATAACCCCCTGCTGCTGGGGCACCGTCTATCATTGCAGCAACGAGATGTGGCGGCGTAACATCCCGTTGCAACGCTACGACCTCAGCAAACCGTCGCCAGCAAGTATGCTCCCTACGAGAATCTAGGCGAGAAACACATTGCAAAAAACGGCAAACCCGCTAACTGTGGCGGCGCCAGCTTAGGTATTGAAGAGTGCAAGCCCAGCTGCATAATGGTGGGAGGCCCCTTCGGACTGGACATTGCCGACCTTGGAATCACCGCTCGCATGCAGGCCTGCAGATCGGCAGTAGCTCACGCTCGTGCTGAGGGGCTGTGTCAATAGCCAACTCTGGAGGAACCACGAGAGCATAAGTGAATCCTGCAGGTTCGGTAGATCTTGGGCAAGCAGGCCAAGCAGTTGCGGAGAGTCCTGGAAGCAGCGGCCTCTCTGGCACCACCTGAATCAATCATCGGATGCGAAGGATATCTGAAACCCGAGCACTTCTGCAGGCCCGCCCGGCTTGCCTGCAGAAGACTGCGCAAGCCACCGTTCTCCTCGAAGTGCACATGCCACAGTGCGGTCAGGGACCAAGAGCTGACCTCGTGCCTGGCGAGCATGGCAGCTAGCGGAAAGAAGCTTCGACGCTGCACTGCCAACTGCCGCCTGCCGCAGCCGATGCCACAGTATGGTGGTGGCATGGACTCCAGCATGATGGAGCTGTTCCCAGGCAGTACGGCTTCATCAAACCTGGGCCGGGCCGTGTTCCGACAACCCAGCTTTCTCCTACCGATCACCCTTTCGAGCCAAAGAACCGAACAGAGAAAGTGTCGTGCATCTGTATCTCGCGGTGCATCGGCAGCTCGACCTCCGGACCTCGTTGTGAAACGAGGGTGCCCGTAGTTTCTCATCGGCTGCCGGGGGGTTCGGATCAGAGGCACCCAGTTGCGGCCAGCAGGAGTCAGTTGAGGGACGCGGGTCTGTCAGGGTCGGTGGGCGAGGTGGGCAGTCCGATTCTTGCAGGCCTGGGCCTGAAACTGAGCATGGCGTGAGACCGAAACTGACCATGTCCTGATCCGAAACTCTCCCGGACCATGTTCCGAAACTCCGCCCCCAAACTCAGCACCGAAACTACCCTCGAAAACCTCGCAACTCACAACTTCCCTGGTGTGACCATCGACAACTTGCGACTTGGCAGCCACCAGTACCCGCAAAACACGACACCCGAATGCGAACGCTGAAGCCATCGGCTGCTGGGGACGACTCAAGTCACGTCGGGGCAACCGCTGGCTTGTGAGCACCCCACCATCCGTATCATCGCTGATTTCTATAATCTCAGGGTGCAAGGGCATGTTGAGAGCCTCAGATCTTTGCCACAACATGCCTTCAAGAATGCAGCCGCTCTCTTTCCTATCATTGACAAGTGACCTGAGACTTTGTAACTCTACACATGTCATCGAGCCCTTTGCAGATCTCCTGGTCCTCAAACGCACACGTATCCTGGCCAGCCTGCCATGCCATTTCATCCTGTATCAAGGATTTCCTGTGAAACATATGGTCCTCAGGAGCGAATTCGGCAGAGCTGCTCGATTGCCAGCCAGATCGAGAAGTGCGGACGCAGAAGATCGCAAAGAGTACCTGCGACCTGCCAGCATGAAGACTTTGATAGTCCGATGGGTACAGAGCAGCCTGAGCCTGGATGGAATGGGCCATGGATGGTGACCCGGTTGCTCTCCACCGTCGCATCGTAGTAGAGCTCGGCCTTGATCCGATTCAACCGAGCGATCATAAGGCAAGCTTCTCTGCATACCGCACTGAGAGCGCATTGTTCTACAGGCGCGCATGCCTCTCTCTAGTGATAGTATAGTGGCTACTACCCTAAACCCTAAACCCTGTACCCTAAACCCTAGTGGTGTTACGAGACCTCTCTCGCTGGGTGGCTGCAACTTAGAGAGCGATCGGAGGGAGCCTCGGAGTCTGCATCGATCAGCTCAAGCATTCCTGCAAGCGAGAGCAGTGAGAGCAGTCGTAATTGTTGCCGCAGTCGTAGTCGCAATCAACATGGTCGTCGTAGCTGTAGCAGGAGCAGCAGTAGACGTCGTCATTTAATTGTTAGTAGTCAGTACTTCGGAGTTCGTAGTTGGTAGCCCAGAGTTGTTCGTAGTTAGTAGGTAGCAGGTAGTAGATGATAGGTAGTCGGTAGTAGTGGCAGCAGTGGCAGCGGTGGCAGGCAGTAGTGGCAGTAGCGGTAGTGGCAGTAGTGGCAGCAGCAGTGGTCGTCGTCGTCGTCGTCGTCGTCGTCGTCGTCGTCGTGGTAGTGGTGGTAGTGGTAGTAGTAGCAGTAGCAGCAGTAGTAGCAGTGGTGGTAGTGGTGGTAGTGGTGGTGGTAGTAGTACTATAGTAGTAGTAGTAGTAGTAGTAGTAGTAGTAGTAGTAGTAGTAGGTCAGATGTGGTAGTAGTAGTAGTCGTCGTCGTAGTAGTAGTAGTAGTAGTCGTCGTCGTCGTCGTCGTAGTAGTAGAGGTAAGCCAGTACTAGTACTAGTACTAGTACCTCTACTCTTGCTAGTACCAGCCAGTACTGGTAAGTTAGTAATACTGGCAGCAGTAGTATTCGGTCACATCTGACAACGGGCACGAAAAGCTCAAAAAACGTGGCTGGAACGGCGCTTCATGCATGTTCCTGTGGGCACCGAAATTCAGCAAAAAACAACACATGTTTCTTGCACATGGTGCGCCCCTCTCGGTTGCCCGGGCAATCTGCGCTACGCTGAGATCTCAAAACGTGGCAGGTGCGGGACTTCCTGAGGTCCAGACTTCCCACTGGGCCACCGAAAAGCCACCATTTTCAGTTGGAGTGGCAGCTTGCTCGTTCCCCCAAAACGAGGCTTTGGACGGTTTGGGTGCTTGATCGAAACCCACAACCCTGAATCCAAATCATCCGCAACATTGGTGGGGTAGACTGTGGGCAAAAGACCTAGAAAGGAGATCAGCAAGAGCAGTGTAGGAAAGGAGCAGGCGGGAGAGGTCGTCGTCGTGGGCGATGGTGTTTGTCGTCGCGGTGGCAGGAAGAGGATGACGACGAAAGTGCGGAGCTGCAGCAACTGCTGTTCCTGCTGCCGATGTTCCTCCCTTGCTGTTGCTGCTGTGATGTGGGCAGCAAGAGCGATGATACGGGCGTTTTGGCCGCTCTGAAAAATCAAGCTGTCGCCGCGACTTTATGCTCGACCTGATCATGGCACAATCAGGTCCTCTGTTGCCAATCGCACCCTCGAACATGACAGCCTCTGAGAACATCAGTATCACCGTGCCGTGCGGCTCTTCCTGAGAACTTCGCAAGCTGCCGTGTTCTGCGCACGGGCTTAGCTATGCTGCAAGTTGCCTAGCATGCTGCACCCTTTCGATGTCCCGGCAGGTTCTCAAAGCCAGGCAAGTCTCTGTGATCTGCACAGCGAGTATCACCTGAAGAGAGGAAGCATCTGAAGCAGGCAAGCTGCGACTGGAATGGTTACTTTCGCGAGGAGAGCGTCGCGCACCGGATTGGGCCCAACAGTCTCATCACAGTCTCCCAATCATGTCGCAGCCCTACCTTGAGCCAATGCATATCTGCAGCTGTGATGCTGGAGGGATGATGTCGCCCTCTTGGATGGAGAAACCTCACTATAGGAATCACGCACGAAGGAACAAAGATCCCAACAAAACTAAGGATTCTGAAAATGTATATATGAATAATTAGCCAGAATGACGACAGTCCGACAACAACAGTCGTGATCAAGTATGTTAGGTGCAAATATATCCTAGTTCTACTTCGCACGGAGCTACATGAGCAACTCAGCTACTCGATCCCATATGTGAGTTCCGCATGGATCTATTTCATTGCCTCTTTGAGGAAGTTCCGGATATGTTTGCTGGCAATCGTTCCGCCCCAACTTCGGTGCTTAGCAACAGTTTTGGTGCATCGTGTGTGAGCAAGTGAGTGAGTAAAGGAGGGAGTGAAGGAGTGAGGGAGCGTGAAGGCATGCGTGGGTGGGAGGTGAAGGGGGCGGGCAGGTGGGTGGGCGCATGGGTGGGTATGTGCATGTGCGAGCGCCGGCGTTTGCAGGTGCAAGCGAGTTCATGCAATAGCAATGTCTGCATCACTGCACACCGTATTGGCAGATTGTTCAAATACGAGTGCCACGTTGTGTCCACATGTTGCAGCCTTTTGGTGTGACCCACACCGTATTGCACAGACACTCCTGCCCTGCCCCCTTATGCTAGTCGATGGGATGCTAATTCAGCCCCTAGCCTAGCCTGTCGACAGGAAAGTATGGTTCGTCACCCTCCTTGGGGCAGTTGAGAACAGCAGAAGGTGGCCTCCCCACTCCAGTCCTTAAAGAACCTTGAAGAACCAAGATCGGAACTCCAATAGCTCTACTCAACGAAGGCCGATACTTGGGACCGCATGCATGGCGTTGCAGGCCATGACCTTCACCATCATTGTTACACGTTCCACGTCAGTTTTGCAGTCGCGGAGCTGCTCGGAATTCACGGAACCAGTGCAGATGAGGCACTCCCACCATGGTAGGCCGCGGCCGCCACCGGCCGGCCCTCTGCAACGAAAAGGCCCTCCTCGGGCGGAAGAAAGTGTTGTTGTAAACACTTCTCTCGTGTTGCTTACGTGGCCTGCTCAGACGCAGCAGTTCGAAGTGTGTCGTGTATTTAAGCCTACTTCTCGTCAGCTTGTACCAACATATGACGCCTCTGTAGCCATGATCAGGGATTGGAAAATCCTATCCGACACTTGAAAGGCTTCTGGCTTGTCTGGCTCTAGCCGAAACCCTCATCGTCGAATTCAACATCTGCAGCACCAGTCGCCGGCATCACCAGCCGAATGCTCTGGCCGAAGGCAAGGACCTAGTGCAAAAGGTGCCGCATCAAGGTTTTTATGCGTGTGGTCTCATGCAACGCACGCTTGCAAAGGACACAATACGACGTCACTACGATGTCCCAGGTCTGCCGCTAGCCTCCTGCTCTGCACACATCCGACTTCATGATGCTTCGTCCGAGCGAGTCAGCACTCAAAAATGCTCTGCGGTGAACCTGCGGCAGCCGCCAGGTGACGATCCTTAGATCACGAGCGACCTCTCAAAGTGTCTGCTTGCTCCTGTTCACTTGCACAAAAGGCTTTGGGCGAGTTATATTAATGGAGGCCCTGAGCCCTGCCTTCGCCGGACATCGGCGAATCGGCGCACGTCCAGCGATGCGGCGGAACCGTCCGCGAAGGTTGCCAAAGAACAGCGCTCGGGATCCTCGAGGCTCAGAATGTTTCTACTCTCCTCAAGGTTAGTTGATTTCGGAAGCCGGGATCTCGAGATTTCAAGCTTCGGGGGGCTCGAACACCCCGTTGCTGCCACTGTTCACCGGCCCATCCTCGTGTGAACGCGTCGCGTCGCAGAAAAGGAGGCTGCCCGTTCCCACAACGACCTGCATCCAGCATGACCGGTGCATTCACACAAGACATGCAATGCGGGCAAAATGCTGGTGAAAGAGCTGCCTTCAGCTTCATGCTGGGGCACTTGCTGACAATCAGATTGAGCATGGTTGGGGACGCCCTCAGTGCCTCCTCACTGAAGTACATCGTGATCGACGTGTCGGCGGCCACATACCTCGGGCACGGCTCTCTCAGTGGGGAGAAACCCTGACAAGCAGAACTGTCTCAAAAGGCTTTTTGTCAAGTGGCTGCGCCCCTGGCGCTGGGAAGCAGCCATCAGGGAGCACCCTTGGCCTTAGAGTTCCAGGCAATCCTCCCTCATCTTCTATCAACTGGTGTCAGAGGGCTACTAGTAGAACATGGCTACGATGGCCGGAGGCAGGGACTTCATGGCAAGGGACAGCCGTCCACGCATCAATGCCTCGCACTGCGCTGCCCTGCTCCCGCCTCGCGATATCGACAGTGGGATCCTCGCCGGTGTCGATTTCCAGCTCGTACCGGGCAAGGGGCCCCGCCAAGCTGCCTGTGCAAGCGGAAGCAGCTGGCAAGCGGCTTCGAAGCAGCATTTGGAAGCGTCATCCGACGGCCGCTCTGCAAGGACTGTGCCCCGCTGCTCGAGCCTGGTCGGCTGTCTGCACCCATGAAGCTGTACGGGGGTACGACGACCTTCCAGGGGCCAAGACACACGCTCCAGTCTGCCTGCGTCTGCTTCTGCCTGTTACGATGCCGATTCCACCGGATTTCAACTCCTTCATGCCCTGTCACTGCCGGCAATGCATTGCTGGAAGGTCCCCGCTGCCTTCAGTCTGCGGGGCAGATCGTCCGGGAGAACAACTCGAAACTCCACAAGGCCCGGAAGCAAGACGAAGCTGCTGGCATCCCTCGGCGGCACCGTCTGGGACCACGGAAGCTTTAGGACGTGGCACCGTGGAAAGCCTGCCAGCGCACGGCCGGCAGAAAGCCCATGGCTAAGGCAGGAGCCAGGGCTCCACGTAGACGCTCAGAACGGTGTCGCTGTCGTTCATGGGCTGCAGAGAAGGCGCGGTGGGCACGGCTCGTGTCTATTTGGAGTACCGAAGTATCGCTGTAAAAATGCCTACAATTTCTGAAAGCCCAAGTAGGAGCACATGTTGAAACTGTTGTTACACTTGCTAATCCTCAAAGCAACACTGCACGCGAGTCACCTCCTGCAGCTCTTGCCCTTACAAAGCACGGCCTGCAGGTTGTCGCAGTCGAAGCTCGTGCCACAATCCTGGCAAAGGGAGCACATCTCTCAGAGGCTCCGACAAGCTGTGGAGATGACGCCCTTGCACGGATCCCGAGTCACTATGCGCAACTGCTCGAAGCACTATCTGGTCGCGGACTTGGTTCAGCTATGTGCAGCTGAGAAGCCCAGACTTTCAGATCTTCTCGCATCAGCGTCGTGCCGGGGAGCTTAGCATCAAGGAAGTCACTCTTCACACAAGACCAGCACAAGCGAGTGCAGAGGTTGCTGAAAATCAAAGCTCCTGAAGTGCTAGAACCCAGAAATCTCTAGCAAGACTGCCCAAATCAAGCCAGCTCAGCTGAAGCATTCCTGAGAGCCCAGCAGAGCCGTTCTGATAAACTCGCTGCGTGAAGTACAGAAAGCCCGTAACCAGAGTTTCCTTCGTGGATCTTGCGTATGCGCCGCTATGTGAGGAGCCGGGGACTCGTGCAGCTGCTGCAGCAGGATTGGACCAGGACTGCAAGATGCAGACTGAGAGGCAGGAGTTGATGAGTTGATCGCAACCATGTGGGTCGCCCGCAGGATCTGGGCCAATTTGGCACAGCGTTCGACGTGCAATCCGAAAGCTCTGCCAAGGCATCAGACTTTGCCGTTGAGCAACACAGATCTTTCCGCGTGAGCGTTTGACAAGTTATGGACTGTGACTGCTGATGATGGCCTCTGGAGCACGTGTCACGTTCTCATCTACATCGAACCTGCCAGTGAGGGGAATGAGGAGAAGTCCCCAAAACCTTTCACGCACTGCCCCAAGTCTGAACTCGAGAGTTTCCCTCCAACCTCCAACTGCCGGGCCCGGTGACGTTCGAATCCAACATGGGCCTGGGTACCAGCACAACGGTGCTTCGCATTGGAGTACATTGCCAAAGCTTAGTTGGCTTACTTCGTTCCAAGACTGAGAAAGCTGCAGCGGATTGTCCATCATGTCATACAACACTCCTGGCTCACTGGTGGTAAGTACGTACCTCGGATGTGCAGCAGCTTGCAAAGAAGACAGATCATCTTCCAGCACAAGGCTGGGCTGATTGCTTGCTGCCAGCCAAATGCTGGTGCGAGAAAAGTCAGGTCAATGCGGAACACATAGATGGCACAGGTGAAGTTTGCATCAATGCCCATCGTGCAGCCGGCGCTTCTTACTTCTACATCCTCGATAGGGCTTCGGCGTAGCTCCCGTCAGATCATGGCATGCGCCTGCAAGGCAGGGCCAGCACGGACCAGGCCAGGCTCCGAATGCCATGTTGCATGCCGCGGCCATTTTCTGTGCGGCTTCGGCTGTCCCGTTCGCTTCACAGCGTCATCCTCAGCATTGTCGGGGGATGCAGAGCATGCTCGCAAAACCGTTCCAGCCCACAGCTCCGTCCCTGATTTGCCCTCTGCCACTGCTAACTTGTGCGTACGTCCTCGGAAGCCCTTCTTTTGCCAGGGCACCGGTGCACCTGTCAGCGCTGCGAGCAGCACAGTTCTCTCTCACTTTCAGGGTCTAAGGCAAGGTTTGGTCTGATCTTGTCTACTCATCCAATCACCCATGTACGGGCTACCGCTGTCCATGGCTGTATGAGCACCTGCAACTCCGACGTCCAGCCATAGAAGTTCACCCAGCTTGGGGTCCGCTCCTCACCACAAACCACAAACTGCTCAAACTCAAACATCCTTGTCAGCCTACAGTAGGATTGCCGCCGCTCTTTACGCTGTCCGTCCTTCTCGTGCTGTAGCTCTGGGCTAGACGTCTCAAGATGGAGCCCCCAGATGTCCATCTCCAGTTCCCCCGCAGGTGCTAGCAGCCTGGGATGCAAACTGCTCAACCGACGCAAACCTCTGTAGGTGCATCCGCTTGACCTAATGTCTGGATATGAAAGACAGGACCGAAGCAGATGCCCTCGGATGCCGCGGAACGTGAAGTTGAAGGCTTCCTCTCTGCCCCGGCTTGGGTTCACGCCCCCCTCGGCAAAGAGCCTGACATGGGCTCGGTGCACAGGAACCTCCCTGGCCCCTTGAAATTGTAGGTTCGGGGGTCGTGCTCTACGAGCCAGTGCCGGCAGGCAGCAGGAACAAGCAGTCGCAGTCCATGCGCTTGGGCGGCAGCTGTTCGGACAAGTGGTCTGTGTCGACCTCGGTACCCTTGAGCAACACACATGACACGTCCGCAAAGACATGCAATCGCAAACTGCTAGCTACCAGCACGGCGGCCAATCACAATCCAGGGGCGGCATGCTTCGAGTCAGCCACATCCTCCATGGAAGCGAATCGTCCAAAAGACCATCGTCTGATGGCCGACCTCACCGTCACTGCCACGCTTCGTCTCATTACATGTTGCACTTCCACTGGTCCACCCGACACGAAACGTCCCGACGAAGCCCGAGATTCCGCTTGCAACATACCGACAATCGAAACAGTAGAAACAGTGGCAAGGGAGCTCTGGATCGCATTCCAATATTATGCCTCTTGGGTTCCTCTGGTAGCTACGACAGGGTCATGACAATAGCATGAGAAACGTCGTAATATCTTGGCTGTGTTCTTTCCAAGACTTGAAATCCGATTCCCCGCCATTCTGAGAATCTATTCCACGAATATGTGCCAGCTGCCAGGGCAACGCAAGGCTAGTTTTTGAATTTTAGGTGCCGGTACTACAGCACAACCATTGGAAAGAGCAAACTCCCGACCTGGCAGCCCAAGCAACCTTGGGGAGAGCACCAGCATCATGTTGGGTGGGCCGCGCACGGAGATGTGTGCCTTCCGCAGGTCCTCACCTTCACATTACGTAGAACATCTCAAGTTGGGAAGATGATGGAAGGCCTAATTCATCACTAACCTTGCATTGTGCCCATGCTCCACACCCTAAATCTCTTAACAGTCAGATGGGTGTGGTGGTCCTGCAACGGACACGGGGAAAGATGCCAGCTGGACCTTGCATGGCACAGCACTGACATGGATTCTGCACCGAACCACCAGCAGACCGACAAACTTCAACCAAACGAGCTATGAAGCCTCAATCAAAGCCTACACTTGACTAATCCTAGCTTGACTTGTCTTAGACAAGGCACGTCAATCCCGACAGGAATCTCCGGAGGGGATCTCTTTGCCCAAGCACCGCCCGTCAGAAGCCACTTCATGGGGAAGGGCAGTGGCACTTGACCGTAGACCCTCGCGTTCTGCACAGGTCTTGCAATTTCAAGGATGCCTCCTGCGTCGCAGCCAAGGCTCCCAATGCTGTTGTCGTGAGGTTCCGAGCCATTCGGCAGGCCGTACGGTGCGAATTTCCGCATGGTGTCCAGAGAGTTCCAGTCCTGGGCAACCTGGCTGCACACGCCCTGGACTCCCCGACATCTTCTAGACTGTACCAGCGCAGGTGCGGCCCATGGCCAAGATTCCCCTGCGTACGGCCTGGACAACCCAAGCCGAGTCAAGAAGCAGTGAAGATGCCGCTCTCCATCGGCTCCCAGTGCGCTGTGGCCGTCCCGTTGTCCTCCGCGATGCGGGCTCTTTCTGCTTTGGGCCGGCTTGAGAGCCTGCAAAGCCTTGAAGGCACGCAGGTGCCCTGTCCTCACTGCCCATCTAGATGAACACTAGTTTAGCTCGTTTGCCCAGACACAGACTCAAACCTTTCAGACTAAACGCAGAGCAACCGTTGTCCCTTGTAGAGATCACTGCTGCTTCGGCTGCTCAACGCCGATACTACATCGGGTCAGTTTATTCCAATGGCCTCCAGAGTCCAGGTGGCTTGGGATCGTGCTGTGTGCCTGAGGTATCATCCGCCGGCGAAAAGAAAAAATGGGAGCCTTGCAAGCACTGGGCCACGGCACTGGTAGACGATGCGCTTGGGCCGGTCGTAGCTGTACGGGAAGATCCAGAGCCTCAGGTGGCCGGGCCTGAATCTTTCACTCGTGTGCCCCGCTCGCCACGCCGAGGAACGCCAGACCAAATGCCATGGCAAAGGTAATCAGACAGAGCATCTTCGTGGCCCAGTGAGGAACGGGCCTTGATGCAAGCGAGCTGACAGGGCCTACACGCGGCAGTTGTCGGATCTCCCAACCGACTGCCAGAGCTTCAGCTGCAGGCACAGTATGAAGCGCGCCGACAAGGACAAGAAAAGCCCAGTCATCAATCCGAAGAAGGCCGCAACAACGACGTCGCCAGGAATGGAAGTGCCACTTCCTCATCGGAGCCCCAGGAGGCTCAAGATCTTCGGTTGCTGCAGAAGTCTGCCGGGACTCCAAACTTCTACCGGGGTACTCCTGGCTTGGCCTGTCCTGTGTCCAAGACCCCGTGCAGCAAAGCTCTTCAAAGCGGAGTTTTTGTCTAAGCTCATGTAGGTGGTACGAATACTAACACAAGCAGAGATTCTGTATGTCAGAGGGCACAGCAGGTCCAACCCTAGCACCAGGAACTGCAGATGAAGCAGCCACGGCAACGCCTCAGCCGCTGCTGGAAACTTGAACTACGGTAGCTAACCGGTATCTTGGATCGACGTCTGTCGCAAAGCGATCGCAGCTCTTGAAATGCTCGTTGCATGCCTTGCGTCCAGCTTACATCCCACCCAAGCAAAACAACATGAGGTGGGAGGCCTCATGACCTGCAACCAGAAAACGGCTGGGTCCTAAGAACCGGAGATACCGCGAGCTGTCTTCTGCCATGGCACGAAGGCCACCACGACCGAAACCGAGCGGAGTGGCCGCGGGCAAAAGGCAGCCAGGCCGGGCAGCACCGACCACAGCAGGAACCTTCCAGGCAAGGAATGGAAGCGTCAAAAGCCCAGGCCCAGGGCCCAGAAGAGCTCAGAAGAGGCTCTGCCAGGGCCTCGATGCAGCTTGAACCAGGCAGACGGGGACTTACAGAGGCAAGTGGCGGATAGGATCCCAGCACGGCCACGGAGCTCAGCGAGAGGCCGAGGCACAGCATCGAAGCAAGTGCAATGGACCCTGCGAGGCTCTCCACACGTGCAAAAAGCGGTACTACATTACTACATTGTCACTGCAGTGGCAGAAGGCTCACCGAAACTTTGACTCACCGACGATTGAGCAACCAATTACTCTTTGCAGAAGCCCCGGCCTGGCCTTCTTCCACGAGAGACTCGTCTCGGCCCAGGAGCCTCAGGCAACCTGCGCACCGAAAAGAAGGGAACTTGGGGACCTTCAAAGCTCTCTCGTCCCAGCTCACCGAGAAAGGCGGCCAGCGCTGGGGGTACGAAAAGCCTTGGCTCGGCTCAGGCTCTGGGCTCTCAGCGACCTCCTCACTAAGTCAACACCCATACTACAAGTCCAAGTCTTAAGTCGAGAAGAATGCTTTCTCACACACCTTGTTGCCTGTTTCTTCGAAGGTGTTCGTGTGTACTTCTGCTCTCTAGGCTCGACTCTGCAAGAACGTTCGCAAGAACTTGCCCAAAACTCTGCACCCCCGTTCGTATAGAACCCAATGAAACAAAATGCCCTGACTTTGGTCAGGATGCTTCAGGATTAAATGCCACAGTTAAAACGATGGGACCGGACCAGCATGCAAGCATTACCACTACAAGCGAAGTGACCCTGCAATACCAAGCCCGACGCTACTCTGAACTAGTATAGCGTGTGCAGGTCCTGTCAGGGTGTGCTGCTGAACTGTCTCACATGAGCAGCAGAATCTCCTGACTACGTGGTGCTACAAGGCCACATTGCCGCACGTCTGAGGTACAACAAACAAGTTCTCGTGGCGCGCGCCCTCTTTAGGCATCTCCTTCTGAAAACCTCCTGGCGATGAAGACAACACAACTTGACGAAACGCAAAAAGCTTGGCCAAGGCACAGCGGAGCGAGCTCCGGGTGTCCCGAGCCGGCGAGCGCCGCCGGCGTGAAGGCGACCTCATTTCGGGGATTTCGGCTTTGGACAGGACGATGGGCACGGCCATGATGATGACCATGGTCGTCGTCATCATCGTCATCATATCAGGATAATGATTATCGTCATCGTCACCATCACATCATCTTCGCCAGAATCTCCGCATTATTCAGCGTCCTGAACATCTTCGTCGTAGCATCTGGCGACATTACCATCCCAAACAGCATCGCCCACATCATCACCACATCCTGGCAACCCTGGTTCATCGTGATCACCACCACCATCAACAACAGCGGCAACATTACTCCTATCAGTCATCATGGGCGCTTCAGGTGCAAACAACCTTAATTTGAGAAGGAAGTTGATCCGGGGGCCTACTCCGTA